TCTGAGGGGAAGCTGATATTTCTAAAAATAGATTCCCAGCACTGTATTGATCTTGCATTTAAATAAGGAAAAAAAACTACTTTTAAGCGAGAAAATATATAAGATAAAACGGCTTGTTATGAAATTATAGATTTTGTCAAATAGATGATTTATTGTTTGGTATATAGTAAATGACGATCTGTTGGCGATCTTCATAATATTATAACACCAGGTTCCTTATCAGTAGTCTACAGTCTCATTGACAAAATTCATTAGACGATGTTTTATTTTCGGACGATCAGAATTGTCTCCTTGTCGTTATTGTATGGGATAAGTTGACATGTGTTGTTCTTCATATCTTACAATCAAAAGGATATTCCTGCCACCAACTTTTTACCATGTCACAGAAAATAAAAAAACCGCGGTTGATGACCTGTAACCTTTGTCTTAGCCGGCTAACAGTGACGAAACACTGTCACTGACTACAACTTCCGGTAGCAGGGTGAAATGTAGGTAAAACTTTAAGGGGATATTTTGCCAATGTTTGTCCAAACGACCATTAACCAATTTAATGATTGTTTGAGTGTTTGTTTCAATTGTCAACAACAACACGTCTTCACATTGTGACCTATTGGTGTCCTTGTAGTCACCTGACCACAGGTCATTGCGACCTATATCAATCGTTGTGGTCACCTCACCACGGTGACCTATAGCGGTCGTTCTGCGTCCGTCGTCTTCCGTTAACGTTTCGTTGCTAACGCGATAGATTGAACAGGTTTTGGTGAAACTTGTTATGAGGCCTTGTATCAATGGGACCGCTTTCCTTACCGTTTTATGGCCCTTTGCGGTTTTAGTTCTGTTGAGATAAGCCAGGTGACCGTGAGCCTCTTGTCAATATCCTGTTAACGTCACGGTGATGTTTATGGGCGTTGTAAGGACTCACTGGGAAATATTCGAACTAGTGGGAAAAAGAAACACAAGTTTATTTTCAATAGGTTTTATTTTACACGATTCATTGATGATTAGTTCATTGTTAGAGTTTCTCGGTTCTTTCATTATTACCGAATACATTTTAACGATTTGTGTTGTCCTATTACAGACGGCGTTTGTGTGAATAGCGTTATAACATGGTACCTTACGCCGTCCCCTGATACAAATTAGTAGCATTTGTTCCCAATCCTGACCTAAGTCGCTGCTCTTAGTCCCCTTAACATTGACCCCATTAAGGTGTTTATTGTCCTTTGATGGATATTATTCCACTCGTTAATAAGGGCCTACGTCAGTTGAGCGACGTTATATGGGACGTTGACGTGCTTCTTAACCCTCCTGTCTACCTCGTCTCACAAGAGCTCGATTGGGGACATGTCTGGACTGTATGGTGGCCAATCAAGGACTGGGACGTTGTTTTGAGCCAGAAAGTCACGACAAACCCTAGCAACATGGGGCCTCGCGTTGTCCTGCTGCAACGTAAGGTTACGTTGATGGATAAGAGGAAGGAGGTGTGGTCTCAAGGTCTGATGCTGATATGTTACAGCTGTAAGATTGCCATGGATAACCACAAAAGGCATTTTCACGCATTGAAGTATCCCTGCTATATAACATACCCTTCCCCGAATTTGTCGCTTTCCGTTACGCAATCGTCAGAATATCGCACACAGTACAGATTAGCTACACATTTCTTTTCCAAGCGATTGTAGAGTTTCATATAAGTCCACAACGACCCTATGTTGGTCCGTCACAGAGGCGACGCCAACGTCGAATGCAGTGACTGTTTGCACATGCACCTTATCGGTGTCGTTTGGCCCTTTGGAGACACGTTGTCGTCCATCTGACCAGTAGAGCGTGAAGCGGGAACTCGTCAGTGAACAACACGTGTCTTCAAAGGGCCAAACGACACCGATAAGGTGCATGTGCAAACAGTCACTGCATTCGACGTTGGTCGGCTGAATTTCAATTGAAGAACATATTCACAGTGTACGGAAGTAGCTCGTCCTCGTGTCCAAAAGTTATATTACAAAATCGACCTTGCGTTTCTTTATCCGCTGTTATATTTCTTTAAGACATGTCGGTGGCATTTTTGTTGTTTTTGTTCAAGAACGAGTTTCTGACGCTAAAAATCTTTAATATGGTGCTCTCCTGCTTTGTTGACCTATCAATAGAATTGAAGACTTTGCTCTTATGATTTCTTGGTTTTAAAAATTTTGGTATCAGTTCTAATAATCGTTTAGAATTATCCTAGAGGCTATTGAAACTGGTGAATTATTTAACACAATATCTCAATCTCAGTATTCATCAAATTCAGTCTGACAGGCGGGCCTCGATCTCAGTATTCATCAAATTCAGTCTGACAGGCGGGCCTCGATCTCAGTATTCATCAAATTCAGTCTGACAGGCGGGCCTCGATCTCAGTATTCATCAAATTCAGTCTGACAGGCGGGCCTCGATCTCAGTATTCATCAAATTCAGTCTGACAGGCGGGCCTCGATCTCAGTATTCATCAAATTCAGTCTGACAGGCGGGCCTCGATCTCAGTATTCATCAAATTCAGTCTGACAGGCGGGCCTCGATCTCAGTATTCATCAAATTCAGTCTGACAGGCGGGCCTCAATCTCAGTATTCATCAAATTCAGTCTGACAGGCGGTTCTCAATCTCAATATTCAGCAAATTCTACAGCTATTTTTTTCTCTTACGAACAGTATCTAGGAAGTTATTGTGAAACATGTTCAGTTTTCTACCATCAATGTTCCATAAAATGAGTGTCTTGTGTCATGTCAATTTGCAGTATGTTACGCTACATGAAATCGTTATGTTACTCCACAGTGAGTAGCGTCAAAGTGCTGTGTGAATTGTATTTTCCGTAGCCAGAGACACGACAAATAAATTTTCCCATTGAAAAAAGAAAAGCACCTGTGAAATTCAAAAGGATTCTCGAACACTTCCATTTTTTTTTATCAAACTGGAATACCAGTTGTGATTGTATTACGACTAACTAGCTAGACTTCACTATCCTGCCTGGTCCAATTTCACCATGACCACCAGATGAAATAAAAGTACCCGTATGGGTAATAATTTGACGAGGAGGTAGGGTTGTGGTCGTCTGCTGGTGAAGGAGCAGTCGGGGCTCGCTACATAACTTATTGCATTGAGTGGAGATGTAAAGTCTGTTTCTACACAATTTGACGTCGGTAATGTCCTTCACTTTGTAGATTCAACTTCTGTTAAATTGTTTATATTAGTTTAATCGTTTTCCTCTTCTTTTTCATGACGTTTTTCGTTCTGTAAACTTACCATTATATCTGCCATCATAACAACTTTTGATGATTAGCCAATTGGAAATCTGAAAAGGAGGAGCCATATTAAATGATGACATCATTCAACTCATCAAACACGTCACAAAATATTGATCCCGGACCAAAGAAACATTTATTAGTATACCACAGTGGTTTGGCAAGTTAACATGAAAAATACCCTGCTACCTGCCATACATCAGTACATGCTACCTCTCGACTCAAGGGAAACTCCCATTAGCCAAGAATAAGGGAATGACCTCTGACCTGAACTGCACATTGACCTACACCAGTAGATATACATCCAGAGAATAAATAGATAGTGATTTTCATCGTCAGAGCTAAAATGTTGCCTGTGTATTTTTCTGATTGCTCAGCTGAATTATTGGGACCGTAGATATAATCACATTTCTGACATACTGGGAAAGCACATTGGGCAGTAAAAGTGAAATTGTGCACGTAAACATGTTCTTTCTGAGCCTATTAAACTATATCGCTCGATCTGTGTGAGTCATCCGCCAGGGTGCCGGTGATTACATGACTTAGTTGAGGTCCTGTGCATTCGTGCGGAAAGTTACGTAATTAACTTTCCTTGATAGAGTGATTTGCCGGTGAATTATATTTTTCTTTAAAAAATGCGTATTTCACATTGAGTGTATATTTAATGTGATTCTGCAAACAAGGCCCCAATGAACACCTGTTTACCGACATCGGACTTTGTGTCGCCAAACGTAAAATATAACACAACATACAAAAACGTCACAGAGGCCTGGCATCAATATATAACACAACATACAAAGCCAATGTCAATATAGAACACAACATACAAAAACTTCACAGGGGCCTGGTGTCAATATATAACACAACATACAAAAACTTCACAGGGGCCTGGTGTCAATATATAACACAACATACAAAAACTTCACAGGGGCCTGGTGTCAATATATAACACAACATACAAAAACTTCACAGGGGCCTGGCGTCAATATATAACACAACATACAAAAACTTCACAGGGGCCTGGTGTCAATATATAACACAACATACAAAAACTTCACAGGGGCCTGGTGTCAATATATAACACAACATACAAAAACTTCACAGGGGCCTGGTGTCCATATATAACACAACATACAAAAACTTCACAGGGGCCTGGTGTCCATATATAACACAACATACAAAAACTTCACAGGGGCCTGGTGTCCATATATAACACAACATACAAAAACTTCACAGGTACAAAAACTATAATATATAACACAACATACAAAAACTTCATATATAACACAACATACAAAAACTTCACAGGGGCCTGGTGTCCATATATAACACAACATACAAAAACTTCACAGGGGCCTGGTGTCAATATATAACACAACATACAAAGCCAACGTCAATATATAATGCAAAACACATTAAAACTATGTCGAATATATAACCAACATACAAAAACTAATATATAACACAATATACAAAGCCAACGTCAATATATAATGCAAAACACATCAAAACTATGTCGAATCCTAATAGGTTTTGTCGGAATACACTCTCAAAATCTATGAACAATATTATCGATGTAAAAAATCTTCATGTTTCATCTATTTTTAGAGAATTTGATAAAAAATCTTCATGTTTCAAAATTCACATGGTCATTTTTTCGAGACATATAACTGACATGAAATTTGCTACAACACTACAGCGCCATAATATTACTCACTTTTCTTCCTTCACAGGAAATATTCAAGGATCTAGACGTGAATGGTGAAGTACGCGTCAGTCATGATGTGTTTGTGAAGGAGATGTCCAAGCTTCCAAGACGGTAAGGTTTAACAAAATATTCATGTAATACTATCTATTTATAGATATTGAAATTCCAAATTACATATCTGGAAAACTACCTGTGTTGATACAAAAACGCTGCAAATAATTCATTTTTACAGACTGGTACTTCTATTAATGAAATACTACCGTTTCTTAAGAAGCCACAGTTTTCTTTGTGTTTTCAAATGTTGATAAAAATAACTTTTTAATTTCAGTTATATAGTATTTAAAAAGGGACTTTTTTGTCACAAACTCACGATCAAAATTCCACATCCGAAGTTTTCGTCACTATGGCGCTTTTCACTAGCTCAAGTGTTTTGTATGAAAATCAGGCCTCGTGATAAGTTATGAAGTATAATGGTTTGGCCTTTTCAACGTTAAAATGTAGTATTCTGCATGTATGTCATGTAGAAAATTAAACATGTCAATTTTTGCATTAATTACTAAAATATCTTGTATAGTGGTACGTCATTTGCTGACAGTTCTTTACGTACACTTTGTGTATCACTTGTATCGAGCACGTCGGAGTGCGATTCCAACACATGGCCTGAAAGGCGGATCATATTCCCAAATTCGCTGGTCAGTAATAGTGAACAATGATCCAAGTTCATATTTTTTTTACGTCATTGCCGTTGGAAAAAGACAACTGTGATAATATAAATGGCGACACCTTGTTTGAAATCCAGTCCAGACAGATAATTGCTAAAGCTGCACTTTTTCTCCGTTTCTCTAGTTCGTGTTTGCAGCAAGATTCCAAATTGGTTTCATCCTTTCCAACTTGACCGTCAGCTCGATAAGAGATGGACAGAAAAAATCTAGCCTTTGTCACTATGTTAGACCGGGAAGTCCATCCATCTTATGCGGTTGTGACATGACACATCAATGAAAATGCACTGTAATATATACATTAAATTAGCGTTATTTAAATGTGCAACATATTTGAATGAGCTATATATGTTCAAATTTTGTTAAACAGCATGGCTAGCTTGTCAACGTTACATTATTTGTTTGTTAACAAAAGAAGTCCGATATTTAGAAATATTTCGTTCGCTGATTTTATCGACCAATATTAATAGAAAAGGAGCGTTTAGGCCGGATCTCCTTGTAGCTAATGATTACCTAACTGAACCACTTACAGGAGGACCGTCGTATGGCATCAAGAACAATCATGGCAATGTGTCTTACCCAAGGACACTGACAACTTCCTCCGAACCACATACTGCGGATTTCCACCTAACGTTGCTACACTGAATAAGATATCGCCCCTCTCCCTCAATCCAAATCCCCAACTAAAGTAACCGTTCATAAATATAAACATATTTGATTAATGACAATTTTCTGACCTAAAATGACCTCTTGTTTTTAGTTAAGGAGCTGACAGTTTTTTCTATTTAAACCTTATTTAAAAAGTATCGTTTTGCTTCTGTTACAGCCTGGCGTTTGATAGTATGTTCAACATGAAAGATTACAACAGAGACGGTTTTCTTTGTGTGGACGAGATTAAAGACTTGTATGATTTGGTCAACGTGAAGAAAGAAGTTTTCGAGAGATTGTTAGATAAAGATGGGGATGACAAAATTTCCAAGGAAGAGTTCATGGCTTTGGTGTAATGGTTGAACCGCGCCATTAACTTCAACAGGGGTCATTTTGTACTTTACTTCGTCAATATTAAGAAAAATTTGCTGTCTTGACACTTCCTTGATCGTATCTGTGTGATATAAACCTTTTTAAAACATATTCTGTACTCGTGTCAATGCTTTTTCAGCACTCCCCGTAATGCAAACGTATCAATTTAGTTTTGTGGTACATACTCATAGTAATGGCAAGTGGCTTCCTTCTCACTACTTACTTCATGTGTTTATCAAACAATACGATAAAATTTATCAAACGTAACCGACAACGTAATTCTATGTTATAGTATTCAATCTCTAGTGTACAACGTTAACATCTACGTGAACATTTTCTGTGTTCCTCAACAACGGTAACATCTACGTGAACATTTTCTGTGTTCCTCAACAACGGTAACATCTACGTGAACATTTTCTGTGTTCCTCAACAACGGTAACATCTACGTGAACATTTTCTGTGTTCCTCAACAACGTTAACATCTACGTGAACATTTTCTGCGTTCCTCAACAACGGTAACATCTACGTGAACATTTTCTGTGTTCCTCAACAACGGTAACATCTACGTGAACATTTTCTGTGTTCCTCAACAACGTTAACATCTACGTGAACATTTTCTGCGTTCCTCAACAACGGTAACATCTACGTGAACATTTTCTGTGTTCCTCAACAACGGTAACATCTACGTGAACATTTTCTGTGTTCCTCAACAACGGTAACATCTATGTGAACATTTTCTGTACGTTGGAGTGAAGACAACGAGAGCACAGCGTCTTAGTAAGAATTGTTCGAACACGGTCACAATAACTGTTATAACAACGCCAGAAATATTGTTCCTTCCTCAGAATTCTACAGACTTCAGACCAACACAAATTTATATCAAAAGCCATCTCAGTGTAGCATAACGTCAACATCTTCTACGTTTGTGCTTACGCGCACAGTTTTAACGTGTTTATGAGCCTGATTTTATATATATGAATATTATAACCCATCTTGGTGCTAGTGAACTCTCGCTTTATTATTTTTATTATAATCGCTTATTATAAATGTCTACATGTACTCGATTTTATTTCGTTTTCATAAAAAAATAAAATTTATACTCAGATTCGATTGGAGTTATATTGTCTTATTTTTATTTAAGGTTGAAGAATACCGATGTCATATAAAGAATATTGCTATTGTTTCATTCATTTGTTGTTTTTAAAATGAAAGTTTGTTGATATATCAGTTTTCTTCCAACGATGAAGGCCATAGAACGTTTTTTCGTTAGTTAAAAACTATATCAATTGTTCATTTTAACCGTTCACTGTTAATAGGGGAGTTTTAAAACCATACCGTCAGAGCAAAAGTTACGATCTCTAGAATATCCATAGGGTAATAAGTACAGATCACTTTGTTTGTTAAGTTAAAACCTGATGTAAACTTTATAAAATACAATGTACAGCAGAGAAACGAAGACTTTCGATGTTTTAAGGAAATAGTAATAAAACATCATAAAACGTATTCCCAGTACCAAAGGATGGAACAGTTTGGTGTACGTATCAGATAGCAAGTTCATGGAGGATGGTATCCAACCATTGTTGAATTACCGTTGTAACCTTTAAAAAGTTGTAATCATGATTTCCTGTACTCCGATCATTACAGACCGAGTGATTGACGAGGCATCATATTTGTTTTATTTATAAATGTAAAATATGAGTATACAAGATATACGTTACATTTGAGTGCATTGTTGAAATGCGGATTTATATATAACTATATATGTGATAATGCCCAACTATTTCCGGGGGTACATATCGTTTCATTATGAAAGTTAAACAATTTCATTTATATATGCTATGGCATGACGACAGTAACGTAACATACCTATTGCATTCCGGCACTTCAAGGGAGATAATCAATAACATAATTGTAAACATAACATGCATGTTGAGGGAGATCATCCATAATTGTAAGCGTAACGTGCATGTTGAAATCCGGCAATTTAAGGGAGATAATCTATAACATAATTGTAAACGTTACGTGCATGTTGAAATCCGGTACTTCAAGGGAGATAATCTATAACATGATTGTAAACGTTACGTGCATGTTGAAATCCGGCACTTTGAGGGAGATAGTCCATAACATAATTGTAAACGTTACGTGCATGTTGAAATCCGGTACTTCAAGGGAGATAATCTATAACATGATTGTAAACGTTACGTGCATGTTGAAATCCGGCACTTTGAGGGAGATAGTCCATAACATAATTGTAAACGTTACGTGCATGTTGAAATCCGGCAATGCAAGGGAGATAATCCATAATTGTAAACGTATCGTGCATTTTGAAATCCAGCACTTCAAGGGAGATAATCCATAACATAATTGTAAACGTAACGTGTATATTGCAATCAGGATTTATGGAAGATAATTGCACATACATGGTTGTCAATAGTGCCAATATAGAATCTTGTAACGTTTACAATACCAATATAATAGCATTCTTTTATTCATAATAAAGATATCTTTTAAAATCAGCATGTTGTTTATCACAAAAATATCTGTATTCAAACGGTATTTATACAGTCTTTAAATAAGATCAACATATTGTTCTCCTTTTGTAGGACACAATCTTGATCAATTCAGGTGGTGTGTAATGTCACGTTCTCAAATGAGAATAACGTATACAACAACGGAACCAACAAGCAAACTAACGAGCACCAACACGTCGAGTTTGATATCACATAAAGAAACAAAATGTTTTTAATGAGTTCACGATGGCGTCCATAAAACTTCCTCATAATTTCTCAGCAACCTGCATCATTTGTAAACCCCGTGTTACAAGTTTGTCTGTCAGTTGCACGAAACTCGTGATAATGGTAATATCGATTCAACCGCTAAATGAAAACGCCTTAAGTTCGGGTACAGGGATAATGCTATCTAGAAATGGAAAATTCACAATAAGGATATTGACATCAACACGCTGATCATACAGCTTGGTGGAAAGCAATCTATGTACATGTAGGACCAATAATGAGATAGGCAATTAATGTTAAAGAGTCTATCATATCCTTGGTTTCTAGTTCTGGTTGGTATATACGATGGACATGGTCAGTACATTCAAGACGTCATCAATATATCTAAAAGTGTAATTAAACGACTTTGCACGGACTTTGTGACATGTTTCGATAATCACCTAAATGAAGATAATTCAGCATCGAATGAAAGCAAAAACAAGCAGCTGAGGGGCAAGGTTAGTTCCCATAAGTTTACCAGTTGAAGATCTAACTACCAAAGTCGATGAAGATTAAGAAATTCGATCGTGTTTATGAATTCGTCCTCCGTCTGTTACAACAGCAATTATAACAACTAAAATATATTATTTTGATAATTGGTATGGTGTATAACATAGTGGAACCGTGCTGTCCGATTTAGTTGTGACGTCAGCTTTATAGTGTCATGGGCATGGTAGATTTTATTGTTGTTTTCCTCCAAGAATACCTGCAAAAGTATCTATCTGTATTTACAACAGAACACTACATTCTTTTCAAGTTATTATCAGGGTTAGAAAAATTCATGATAAATTTTTCATTTAATCTCACCAGATCTAGAGTCTTTCAACAAAACGTTAAGATAATACACATGTAAAATATTACCTGAAAACAGAAATCTGTAAAACATATGTGATATTGTCTGAAAGTAAGGCAACTAATAACGGCTTGGTCTTAACCAAAAACATCGAATGATTCTCCTCCAGATCGTCCTGAAAAGGACGAAAAGATAAATAAATAAATAAATAAATAAACAAATTGGCGTTTGGAAAAGCGGAATCATTTGTGCAGTTGTTAAACTGATTTTGAATGTGATAATGACTTAATTCCCGGAAGATTTGACTTCGATGCGCTCAACATTTGAATCTTAATTTTATTTCATAATTTCCAATTATGTTATATAAAATGATAACTTACGTTTGAAAGCTTTCATCTGTCTTACCAATGTCAAATGTATCAAATATATAGTGGAAAAAAAGGATTATTCTTTACCTTGTCGTCATAATCGGTATTTTAGAATCAGAAGAGTACTTTTAAGCCGCATGCCTATGTGGTAGATCTGGGTTTTTTTCCAGAATAAGTTAAAACTAACTCCTCTGTCATTTATTTTCGGCAAGAATTTTATTTTGGATCACGAGATCCAGAATCTAGCCCTGCGTGTGGCACAAAGCGTTTATTCTGACTAAATACACTTCTAGAGCGGTTCTGTTCTAATAACTCAAAAATATGTCCGTCCTGCCAGGAGTCCACTAAGAGTACTGCCTAAACAGACTTGAAACACAAAGAAACACGCGCCAAACTGACCATAAGAACCTACCAACAGAAATTCGCCAATATTGAACAAACCACACCATGGGACAAAACTCCAACTGAGCAACACAATACACCTGTATACCTATAATCACAACATGGGACCCGGTACACGGACACGAGCACAATACAAATACGGTGTAAATACGGACAATCGGCGGTCTGTAATACAATAAAATAAAACATACAAATTTCAGCCCTGCTACACCTATGTCTTTAACGTTTTGTCGTAAAATGCTCTCCGACTGCTGGGTAACCATGTGGAAGCTAAAGATTTTGCAATTGACTGAGATGAGATACATTTGTTTGTATGGTTTTCCTGTTGGGTTCGCTGTGATTCACATTGTTCTCATTTGAGAACGTACTAACTTGGATTGACGGAAATTAACATGACGGGTGTCGTCGATGAAGCAGAAGATGTTTACCCTTCCGCAACACCTTTACTTAATTTCCTTGGTCATTTTTCAACGACTTTCTCTTTGTGTAAATTGTTCATATTTTGTCCTCGTTTGGTCGATTTGGAGTATGAAGTAAGATTTTGCAAACATGAAATTGAGGAAATCAGGTCATTGTTCCTACACATGTGATGTGCTATGGGATATTAGAGTTATTTATGTAGTACAGTCGATGTATCTTCTGGTATTTCAGGTAGTGCTTTTTTCTGTGATAACAACTTCATAACTTGACCATACAGTGTAAAGAACAAAGCTATGACAGGGCGTATCTCGCATTACTCTTCTTGTGGTCCATACCGGTTGCAGTTAAACGACACGGGCAGGTGTCCTGCAAACACAAATAGTGGAAATCATACACAGGTACATTAATTAAGATGGGATGGTATTCGGATTAATTATACAGGTGCAAATCAGGGAACGCGTTAAAATATCTGTCGGCTAGTACTTTGAAAAATAGTAAAAAGGCACACAAGAGAATATTACCTTTTGATTAAACTTTTGATCTAGATTCCTTATAGCGGAAATGTGAATGAAACTGCACCATATAGCTGTTTGATTTTTCTAGGAGTTAGTGATTCTAAAGAGTAAGTGTTAGATTTCAAAGTATGTCGAAAGAAATGTCACTCTATATAGAGATATTTCAAAAGGAAATCTAATACATGGTTATATTTTGCAATGTGCCACTATCAAAATGACTTAAGACGTGGCGTGCATGTTACGGCTAACCTGGTGGTCTAAAGAAACATCAGAGATAAACGTTTCCTGCATAGAAATGGTCTTGCCAGGAAATGTATAGTCGATGTTTAATAGACAGAAAGCATAATACCTTACACAGAACAGTCCTTCTTTCGTAAGCGAACCATGATCCAAATAGCTATAGGTATTTCTCTTTACACCAACTGACTACATACAGGTGAGGTTAACCGGATATTGTGATATTTCTATTGCGCTACAAATAAAATGTTATATAAAAAACAAATAAAATGTTATATAAAAATGATACTTTGTGTAACTGATATTAACATTTAGTATATCAGTAATAGGAGTTATTTTATAGTGACGTAGAAACACAAGCAGTATTATCGCACACTTTTTTTCAATGAAAATACATCGTATTTTGTTTCTTCGTTGTATGTTCTTATGTAAGTATACTCCGATGGATTCCTATGATGGAAGACTTTATTCACCTCTATTTGTCTGAAACTTTTAAATAACCTTTTTTTTTGTATTAACAATTGTTACTTCCTCTCTTTAACATAC